TAATGAACAAGGATTCCCCAAAGGTGGAAACCATATTCCATGGGCTGACAACGCATCTCAAGTATGCAGTGGTTTAGAGTAAGTACATTAACTCAAGCAGGGGTAGACATTAAGGGTAAAAAGCCACTGGCCCTCCGGGCCGGTGGAATTGTATTGTCACTGGTCCCACCATTGTAACCACTGGCCCGGAGCATTCGTCCGAAAAAATCGACTAATAATGAAGAAAATTAACACATTTGTTGCTATAGTAATGTATGCACAAACTACATTACTACTTGTACTACAACATTTGAACAATCAGTTCTTCCTCATTTCCCTCAATTGTTCATATTTGGTTTATTAAAATAATGATATTGTGGTCATTGTTAAAAAATGTCTGCTATTATTATGAGTATTATTATTTGTATAATGCACTTTCTGCCTTCCTGTCATTAGGAGTTAGAAATGTAATGGCTATATATTAGATTAGATTAGATCCTTCATTATCATAAACTGCTGGGACATTTCCCTATAGCCAATACCTTTATATTTTCTACTCTTCACTTACTTGTCAGCATAGGTCGGCATTGATGTACAGAGCCGACAGAAGACCTTGTTTATATTGGCATCATATTGAGAGGTGCAGCCAGTGACGCATCCTAAAACCAGGAAGTAAGCTGCTGGTTCCCTCAGCAAAAAGCAACGGGATTTCTCCACAGGTTTTTGGAAAATAGCTGGAAATAAGGTCTGTGGAAAACAAACCTGTTTGATAAATGCACGTTTTGTTCAGCCGGATAATCTCCACATGTCTACCCTACTTTTATAATTTTCGAATCATAAATCTAATCGATAGATTATAAAAGGGTTTTAGGACGCGTCACTGCACCACTAGAAGCCAACTCCATCGATCAAGCTGAAACTTTCTCTCCCTCTTCTTCTCATGCTCCCTGTCACTCTCCTTTAACTCCTCCGGTGACTTTCTTTTATTTGAAGATAGTTTTTTGCCCGGCGCTTGGCCGGTTACCGCTGGTATTAAAAACATTTTGGCGAATGATTAGGTGGCGCGATAGTCTGTAGTGAAGGAGCGCGCTCACGGGAGCCTGCTCGCGCTGCGCTCCGCAGCAAACAGCTGTTTTCTTTTCACCCAACAACGACAAGCTACTCACGAAACGCTATGTTGTAGCGTTGATAAACGAAACAATTTAACTAAATTGCTAGTCAAAATACCAATACCACAGGAAACATTTTTTTTTAAACAATATTTTTAGTGGCCCGAGCGGGCAAGTGGAAAGTACGTTATGCTGGCCCGGGGTGTCTAAATAGTGCTTCCGGGCCAGCGGGCCATTTATAATGTCGAGCCCAAAAAAAAAAAAAGTACAAATTTGAGGGACTTGTACTTTACTTGAGTATTTCCATTTTTTGCTACTTTGTACTTCTACCCCACTGCAATTCAGAGGTACATGGTAAACTCCACAACATGTATTTAATACATTTAGTTACTTTACAGATCTGGATGAATTCTTTCACACACAGTGACGTCATGAGCTACCCACAATGCAACGCGCGCCATATATATATATATAAATACGCCATTTTCCTGGAGGTGCTAATATCCTGGAGGTGCTAATATAAACAGCTAGCTAACGTTGCCAGGCAGAGCGCACTAGGTTTTTTTTCTGAATTAACGACCGAAGAAATCGCTGCATGTCTTCGGATTACATCTCTGGACTTGAGGGGTGTGCTCTAGGTCGTTACCAGCGTAAACTATAGCTGTGTGGGTTGTCGGATTGCCTTTACAGACTGCCTGCAGATGTATGGAAAAACGACTCTCGAAAGTGCCCGTCAGTCGATTTTGGCAGCATCTACGTCTATCTTCTGGAAACACCAGGTGAATACCCCACTTGTCACAATAATATTATCATGCCAATGCATATATGTGGTATTTTAGAGTTGACTATATTGATTAAGGCAATAGACTATGATATTCTGCTTGCACCTCGCGTGAAATGGCGGATACCGGAAGTACGGTGTCGCCCTCGGCCCAAAACCCGTATGTGTGTGTGTGAAAGAATGATGTGAAATATAATCAAGTCTTAAATCAGACTTTAGTTCCACCTGGAGTAAATCCACAAGCCACCCTGCAGTATACAAAGTCATTCAAACTAGCTGCACCTTTACCAGCTTTGAGAACACTTTAATGATCAATCATTATAAAACATCTCATATATATTATTCTGAAATTGACCAATCTGCACAATGAGTACTTTTACTTTTGGTACTTTAAATATACTTTGATGCTAATGCTTTTGTACTTTTACATGAGTCACATTTTGAATGCAGGACTTTTACTTGTTCCAGAGTATTCCTACACTCTAGTACTTCTACTTAGAGTTAGGTACAACATCTGAGTACTTCTTCCACCTCCCCAGCTATACATGATGCATTATTTCTGTTGAAGTTAGTGAAACGCTTCCTCACCAGCACACTGCAGGGTCGTCGCTATCTCCTTCTCCACCTCCTCCAGAGCTCTGAGCCGCTCGTTCGCCATGAGCAGACGGGAAACAACCAGCAGCTCTCAGAGAACACCTTCTACTCCCACACAGTCAAACTTCACCCTGTGGACAGGAATCAATCTAAAACTGCTCGACTGACTGAAACCTGAGCACAAGCGACTAAAGCGGCACATCAACAAAGAATGCGACGCCACTCAGTCGCACAGTTGTGACGTCCGTTTATCACAGAGGCAAGATGGCTACATCGGCTTGGATGCGTGGCCCCTCTGCTATGCGACTAACGGAGGGTTTGGTATCGGTTCTGAAGGAACAGCGTCCCGAATATCTACCCACTTTGTTGGCAAACTACAGAGAGCATGGCGTGTTTCAGACCCAGGTACAACCCGCCCCGGGGAAGCACGTTAGCTTGGAAGCTAGTTAGCCGCTGTGCTACTCTGCTGCACGCTGTGTTGTTCCCTGACATGTGTAACTGCAGAAGAGCTGTGGCTGATAACTAATCAACTTTCATCAATAATAGTAGTGTCGCGTGTATTTTAAACTCCTGTGTTTCCCTTTCAGGGCGCGAGCGCTGTTGGTGGTCTCGTGGGTTTCAGCAATGCCAAACTGGGCTCGAGCAAAACCAGGTGAGAAGAAGTCAATTTGATTTATACAGTTTTTGTTTTCTTACAACAAAGTTAAATTACATTATGGTCAAATTTAAAGATAAAAAAGTCCTGTTTCTTGTCAGTTGTCATAATATTTCGGCCTTCACTAAACATGTGACATCAAAGATATGGTGTTAATGTCATTGCATCATTTATTTTTGTGTATTTAGGCAGAGGTGGAAAAAATACTTAGATATTGTGCTTGAGTTAAAGTACCAGAGTGTAGGAATACTCTGTGAAAAGTCGTGCAATCAAGGAATGGCATCAAAATATAGTTAAAGTAGTCATTGTACACATTGGTCCATTTCAGAATAATATATGTTTTATAATTAAAGTGTTATCAAAGCTGGTAAAGGTGCAGCTAGTTTGAATGACTTTGTATACTGCAGGGTAGCTTGTGGATTTACTCCAGGTGGAACTAAAGTCTGATTTAACACTTGATTATATTTCACATCATTCATCCACATCTGTGAAGTAACTAAAGGTATTTAATAAATGTACTTATTTACTTAACCTCAATGCAAAGCACATTACTTACAACAAAGTTAAATTACATTATGGTCAAAATAAATATATAAAAGTCCTGTTTCTTGTCAGCTGTCATAATATTTCAGCCTTCAGTAAACATGTGACACCAAAGATAATGTGTTAATGTCATTGCATCATTTTTGTGTATTTTGGAATTATATTAATGGTATGGACGTAATCATCATAATAATAATACTACTAGATCATACTTTCAATATATAATGTCTCATTGTTTTGAGATACTAATGAAATATTTTGATATAGTTTCCCCCTTTTTCTGTAGATACTAACTTATTTTAATGAACGTTTTGTTTTATTTTGAAATGTAATTCTAAACTGCGATTAACAAGATGGAAGTTTAAGTGTCATTATAGAGACATAATTGTGTGTGTGTGTGTGTAGGTTTGAGGGGCTGTGCCTGCTCTCCATGCTGGTCAAAGACAGCTCCAGTGATCTGTTCCAGCAGCACTGTGTCTCCTGGCTGCGCTCCCTGCAGCAGGTCATCCAGGTAGGATACACATACAGGCACACACATCGGCTGTCATGGTAACTACATAACTGACTTGCTGTATCGATATGGACATGACCTCGAACAATTGTATGCTATTTTCTTATTGTACCGTATAAGGACATGACTTAGATAGTTTTTGTATTATCGGCTTGTCATACAATATTTGTATGCACACCTTAAAGAGCCTGTGACACGAGTTTACCCCATCATCCAAACCCATCAATTTGAGTAAATATTGTCCCCTTGAAAACCGTTACTGAACTGATTTTGGATATTTGTACTTTGATAACCATTAATCTGCCCTTCAATGTTGACCATTTTCTGGATCTTCTCAGGGATTCTTCAAGTCCCGCCAAATTATGTGTGGCGTCATTGCGGGCACAGCGCTCCAGCTGCACCGTTCAGGATCCCAGCATCTGCATGTAAACGCACGATGGCGCACACAGCAGCAAGCTCAGACAGCGATGACAGTTTCATTTTGAACGTGTCTGAGAGCTCATACAAGGCTGAAGGATCGGTTTATGTTGTATCTGTTAGAAGTTTAGGAATTAGGTGCGTCAATATGGGCGATCATACGGTCATGTTGCCAGTGGTGGAATGGGACTAAAAATCATCCCGGGACTCTCGACCGGCCCACTTCGGTACCGCTAGTAATTTGTCAACTGGGGGAGTGGGGGATGTCAGGGGCGGCGGGTGCTGTAGATAGTAAATGTAAATATGTAAATATTTGTGTCACTTAGTGCTGTAGCGACGCGTCGACAATGTCGACGCGTCGACTTCAAAATATCGTCAACGACATATTTCCCCGTCGATGCGTCGCTACACACACGTGGGTCACCCAAAGCAACAAGCAGTTCGCAATCGCACTTCAAACACAATGGAGACTGAAACGGCTACCACCTCCTCCTCACAGGATTGCGCACGAAGCCCCCAAACGAAAACATCTCGCCCTAGGTCTTCAAAAGCATGGGAATATTTTAAAGTTAGTCCAAAACGCAAAGATATTTATATATTTATATCTCACTGAAACTGCTGCATAGCCTAGCAGAAGCAGCAGCTAGCTGTGGTGGCTACCATTAGCAGCTAGCATTTGCTCTCCGATTTTTACATAAAATGGAATTATGGATTATAAATTCAATCATTTTTTATACATAGACGTTAAAAACCTATGGATTAACCGATTCAGCCGCGTTTTTTCTCATTTTAATGCCATTGAACACGTCTTTTGATCAGATTACGGTGGTGAGACGATCTCCCGAGAAGCTCTGTGAAGGTACGTGTTGTGATGACTGTATTTGCTTCCCCTGTCGCGAGTCCGGATCACTCAGTGATGATACTATATACCTACATAATCTGTGGAGTCTCAGCTTTAATCGGATATATTGTATGTGCAGCTACGATAAGTAATAAGGGTACTTTTATCTTGAGTTCTGTGCCAATGTCCGTTAGCATTTTTCGCTCAGGGGTCATTTAGATGCTTCTTATGAGACTTGTGTTTTGTTTTGGTAAACATGGTTTGTATCGTCAGTTAGCTGAGATTATTTCCGTTAATCTGGTATAACACATTAATAGGTTCTTAAATATTAAGATCCCCTGAGACACAGTATCGTGAAAAAAATTTTTTTTACATTACGTTTTTTATGAATTGAACAACAGAAAAATAATCGTTAGATTAGTCGACTAATCGATCAAATAATCGCCCGATTAATCGTTTTCAAAATAATCGTTTCCCCCCAGCACTAGTGTCACTGCATCCTCGTAAAATACAAATGCAATGTCTGTGTCTTTGACATTAGCGCTGCTAGCCACCTGTGCCCTGTACTACGAAGCCAGTTCAACAGACCCTGGATATGTTTGAGTAACAAACAAACTAACAAACGAGATCTCGCTAAGCGGTCCTACGACGCTGGTTATCAACTCGGTAAATCAAGCCAGGGTTTCTCTCACCAGCTGAGAGCGCGTTCACGTCTAAGACACGAGTGGATCTGACTTTAATTACATTTGACTCGAGTGTTTCGTCAACATAATGTGTTGCTTAAAATAATACTTCTGCATACAGTATGTGACACTGTAAGTGTTGCACGGCCAGACACGGCAGATAAGGAAATATATGATATATTATGATATTATATGATCGATGATCTGATTGATGATGTAATATGAATGATAAGTGCGACACGTCGGCGTCTTCTCTGCATACGGCAGTTTAAACTGTATTTCCTTTATCCTGTAATATGACTTGAGAGATTTAAACTCCGCACACTGAGTTGATCTCTTTTCTATAGACGCCGGAGGCGGGCAGCGTCAGGTAAAAAAAAGTTATTTAGCCTTCCCAAACCTGAGCCTCACGCGCCGCCTATGGGGGATGTGCTAGTGATTTATCCGACCGGCCCACTTCGGTACCGGCCCATCGGGATTCGTCCCGATGGCCAGTCCGCCACTGCACCCAGCCCAGCCCACGTAAACTGTCAACGGGGGGAGCCTCGCTGCGGGGAAACGGTGGACCTAGTGTCCCGATCGGAGTGGGAATAATAATAATAATCCGTGCATTTTATCCATTAATTTCCCCAACATTGTGGTGAAAAAAACACACGTTTAATCCATGTTGGTGTACTACAACTACAACAAGCATCGGTTTGTTTTCTCATCAGGAAATGCAGACCGGCACAAACAAACGATTTTTAATCCTCATCCTCACGATCATTTAATCTATCATATGTTCGCCGAATTGACATGAAAGCACTAATAAATGTAGTTTCATCCACTTGAGTTTACAACTACAAAAATAATCGATTTGTTTTTATATCACATCCTACGGGAGGAAATTCAGCAGCTCTCACTACCGATTTTTAATCCTAATGTAATCATCATCTTCACCACGATCATTTATGTTTATGTTCACCGAATTGACATGAAAGCACTGACAAATATGAATATACTGTAGTCAACTTCATTAAAACGTTATTAACGTGCCTAAACTCAGTAATTCACCATTTCTACGCATGACAACACACTTTGTCCGTGTTTGGCTCTCTCGCCGCACAGTGAAGCGTTCCCGCATTGACGTCACTTCCGGCTTCCCCCAAAACTGCAAAATGAGTCGAAGGAATTTCCCCACGATGTTCGAAATTATTGATATTTAACGGAACGGTATCGCATTTTATTTTTTTTAAACTAACGGTTCGAGATGACTAGTAGCCCAATATTTCATTGCACAACAGTTGTTGGGATGCTGTCACAGGCTCTTTAATGTATAACAATTATTTACAAAATATGTCTCTATAAACACACCATCCCCGAGAAGACATAACCTTGATAAGTTTTA